AATGCACTGAGTTGCCGCCATGTGATTGGCTGCTGAGAAATTAAGTGTTAACGAGCAGTTGGACAGGTGTACCTAATAAAGTGGCCGGTGAGTGTATATACTCTTTACCCTGTATATGGCTAGCTCTTAGCTCTTAGTTATAGAAAACATTTATTGTGCAGGAATAAGGTCTTAGCTCTTTTACACTGGTAACCAGGTAATCGACATTTCGTTGTCAAGATTCACCTGTGTTTTTTTGTGGAAGGCGTTATAGGGGTTATAAGTGGTTATAAGTGGTTCTAAGGGATTCTGGGGGGTTCTAAGGGGTTCTGAGTGGTTATAAGGGGTTCTAAAGGGTTCCAAGGGGTTCTAAGTGATTCTAGGCGTTACAAGTGGTTCTAAGGGGTTATAAGGGGCTCTAAAGAGTTCTAAGTGGTTCTAAGGTGTCATAAGGGATTCTAATGGGTTCTGAGTGCTTATAAGGGATTCTAAGGAGTTCTGGGTGGTTGTAAGGGATTCTAATGGGTTCTAAGTGCTTATAAGGGATTCTAAGGGGTTCTAAGTGGTTCTGAGGGGTTATGAGGGATTCTAAGGGATTCTAAGGGGTTCTGATGGGCATTCTAAAGGATTCTTAGGGGATCTCAGACTGTTCATAAAGGGCTTTTCTGTTCTAACCTCCACTGCTTACATAGAAAGTTCTCACAGGATCAGAACCTGCATAAGGACTCAGTGAGGTCTTTAGAAGTTTAGAAGGTTCATGTTCCTAATCCGGTTCTGTGGGGCATAACCGGGTCAGAACCGGCCCCTTGGACAGTGAACATTGGATGTTGTTCATGTGACCCGCTGCTGGCCCACACAGCAGACCCACGGCCTCTGTTCATTGTTGCTCTGAGGGTTCTGGTTCCGGACATTTTGGGCCACCGTGGACTCGGCCCCTTCTCTGATGCTGATCCAACAGTGAGTCTCTGCTTTTTCCTCTGTTGACCTGTCTGACCCAAACATCAGAACATCTGACTCAGACCGCGATAGTTCTGGCTATATGGGTCAGATGAGATCTCATTCAGAATATTGGAGGTCCAGAACTGGTGCTGAAGGCCAGGTCTGGTAGAACGCTGTGGTTCTGAACACAAAACTCAGTCAGTTCAGTGAAAACATGGAGGCTGCCAGCTTCATATTAATCTGAGATGGACCAGAACCACTGACTTGGTCCGAGTCTGGATCACAGGCTCAAGAACAGATAGACACCTGACCCAGAATGGGTTATGACGGGAGCAGAAGGTTCTGGAGTTCTGCTGACTCATCACCTTCTGACCCCCCCCTTCTCCTGCACCCAGTCAGCTGTCCCGGTGCTGGTAGCTGATTGGCCTTTTGAGTCAGCGGTTCCCAGGAAAGCACTGAAGCGGAAAAACTCCTGATTTTGGAAATGGAATTATTGGTGAAACCTGAGAGCGTGGAGCTGATTGGACGGATCGGAGCGATGGTGGTGAGCAGGAGGTTCCCATGAGAACAGAGCTCTGCTGGAAGGTTGTCACCATGACATCACCGAGCTCACGTTTCTCCCCATAGGACAGAAACGGCTTGGTGAAGATCAGAACCAGCAGAACATCCAGCAGGCCAGAAGGTCCTAAAGGTTCAGTCTCTACAGCCAATAAAGACCAACCGAACTGTGAGGCACACAGACCAAACAGGCTGTTCCCTGGAATATCCTGGAATCTCTTCAAATGAAAACCATCATCAAATCAAATTAGAGAGAGAAAAAAAAATAGGAAATTCTAATGATTTTTTTATTTGGTGTAAAAGAACATTTTCAGGAAAACTGTGATAATCTTTAAACTTCAGAAGCTCTCAGCTTCATTTTAAATGAAAGAAAATACTAAGGAAGCTATTAGCCTCATCAGAGAGGCTCCTCTAGTGCTACGTCTGCAGTGAGGGGGCCTGTTGGCCCCTGACTAGAACGGCCCCTGATGCAGACAGATCCTTCTGAGCCATGAGGACAGACTTCAAGTTCTATTTTCAACCTTTTGTCTGCATTCAGAAGCAGAAAGTTAAGAGTCATCCAGGTTTTTCTGTCTTCAGACATGCCTGTAATCTATGTAATGGGTTAGCTTCATCTGGATTATAGACAGATATAGCTGGGTATCATCAGCATAACAGTGGAAATTAATCCCATGCTGTCTAATAACTCTACCGATTGGGAGCATGTATAAAGTAAAGAGAATTGGTCCTAGCACTGATCCCTGTGGTGCTCCACAGGTAACCTTTGAGCATGAGGAAGATCTATCATTAACATGAACAAACTGAATTCGATCAGATAGATCAGATTTAAACCAGTCTAGTGCTGTTCCTTTAATTCCAACAAAATATTCAAGTCTTTCTAAAAGAATATTCTGATCAACTGGATCAAATGCAGCACTGAGATCCAACAGGACGAGCACAGATACAAGTCCATTATCTGAGGCCATGAGAATATCATTAGTGACTTTCACCAGAGCTGTTTCAGTGCTATGATGAGCTCTAAAGCCAGACTGAGGCCCCGTCCACACAAAGTCAAACGAACACGAAACGCTAATGTTTTCCAGAACGTTTGTCATAAAGACGGAGACGTAAAATAAATGTGATCGTCCACACGAATGCATGAAAACGCTGCAAAATGTATGCCAGGCCTGTAAGTGGCGCTGTGGTGCCAAAGCAAAAATAGGCCAAAACAGGCAACGAAATGTTGGGCATGCGCAGTAATATCACGGAGCCTGAAACTCTTCAAAAAGTTCACTAATCTGCTGCTACTTTCATCTCAAAAGGTATTAATTCACCATCAAACACTGACATCAAACACTGACATCAAACACTGACATCAAACACTGACATCAAATGTCAATCATTTCTGACAGTACTTCAAAATTAAAGTTCAGATAACTTTACTGATGTTTTTATGTCAAACTTTTAATTTAAAATAATAGATTATTAAAACTCTAATGTTTCATTTATACTTATCATTTATTTATTATTTTAGTGAATCGGCAGAGAGGAACTAGGATGGGGGGGGGGGACAGGTGAACAAATCCAAACCAGCTGCATGTTTTGGCTCTTCTGACTCCGCCCCCTCAGTTCACAGGTCGGATGACGTCTCACCTGTCCAGCGTCCCCCGGTGAGGCGGGGCTCCAGAGGATCAATCCTGGCCAGAGATCAGCTCAGCGACTTCAGCGACCTTCAGGTGGGTGGCTGATTGATGAGGTCAGAGGGGCGGAGCCTAACATGCTAACAGCTATGGGGACACGCTACGCTTCCTGCTTTAGTCCTTCAGGCCCTCCTGACGTCCCTGTCCTTCTCCCAGTACTCCCAGAGGCCCTGGCACTGGGCTCCCAGTCCAGGAGGAACCTCTGAGGTTGAACGTCGTCCTTTATGATGAGCTAAAGCAAGAGCTGGAAGATGTCTCCAGCTGTCCATCAGGACCAGGCTGTCCCCACCAGGGGGACAGTCACACACACAGGGTTCTGAGCTTTAGACCCAGGACATGGACCATGTTTGGACTTGTAGGTTCAGCCTGTGGTTCGAGTCGTGATGAAGCCAGACCAGAGGTGTTCCTGAAGATGTTCTCGGTTTAAACTCTGAGTTCAGCTGCTTCAGGCGGATCAGGAGGTCTGCTGGGAACAGAACCAGAACAAAGAACTGAAATATGAAACCAGTTAATCCAGCAGGATTGGGACTAACTGGATCCTGTTAATGGGAGCCAATGGCTGATGGTGGGCTGGACCTCTGCAGGTGCTAAAGTTCTGGCTCTGCCTCCTCTGGGCTCAGTTGTTCTGCTCATCAGGATGCTGAGTTTGGACCTGAGGAGAGGGCAGAATAAGGTACAGCTGCTGCTTCCCCTAGTTCTGGTTCTGGTTCTGGTTCTGATGTGAGAACATGATGATCCTCAGCTGGACTTCAGACCTTCAGGATCTTCATCAGGACCTCCAGTCATGTCATGTGTTTGTGTTTCAGATGTTGGTGGAGTTGAAGGAGCTGGAGATGGACCAGAACCAGGACCTACACTGGAGGGAGACGGGTCGCTGGATCCGATTGGAGGAGGATGTGGAGGAGGAGACGGAGCAGTGGAGGAGACCTCACATCGCCGCGCTGTCCTTCCACCCCCTGATGGAGCTCCAGAAGGTCCTTTCCCAAGGTGAGGAGGAAGGTTCTACTGGTGGACGGGTGGTTCTGATCCAGATCCCAGAGGAGTATCTGTTTGCTTGGTTCTAGAAGGTTCTAACTGTGGTTCCAGGCGCCGTCCTCCTGGACCTTCAGCAGAAGACTCTGCCTGGAATCGCCCAGCAGATGGTGGAGCAGATGGTGGCCTCAGGTCAGCTGAGAGGAGAACATGGAGTGGAGCTGCTGAGGACTCTGCTGCTGCCGCACAGGTAGGAACCTTCCTCCACCCGTACATCCATCCGCCTGACATCCATCATCATCCATCATCCATCCATCCATCCATCCATCCGCCTGACATCCATCCATCCGTCTGTC